CTTTAAAACATTCTAAATCAAAACAGGGTAGAAAACATTTAGAATTAATTTTCCTGAACATCTTAAGTCCTTCAAAGTTCAAACTTTATTAGTGCATGTGCTTTTCCTTTTTTAAACCTTTAATCAACCTGTATTATTCAACTTCTTTGGGTCAAATTGGAGCAACAGAATTTACTCTCCTTCATGAAATAACCAAACATGGACAAAGTAAATTAAGTAACAGACTTCAGGACACTAACCAACCAGAAACAGGGTGCTGACCCCTGAGATATGGGACGCAAATGAGGTTAGCCCTATGACTGCCTGTCTACGTTGCCTTGACCACTTCCAGGCTGTGGCACAGGAGGTGGAACCCAGGTGGAGCCTGGTGAACTCCCTGAGATTAGGACACACTGATGAGAGGTTAGGGAGGCCAAGGTGGCTGGATCTCACAGAGCAGACTACTGCAGAAGACAGTGGCTTGGAGAGAGAAAGATGCATTCAGCTGAATATTGATCAACATGGATAAGGGATGAAATTACCTAAGACCATGGAAAGAACTACCTGGAAGGATTAGAAATGACAATTTTTGATGCTCAAACATGGCTGGGAATATTGCCTGACTCTACCAGTAAAAACCAAAAATCCTTGTGATCTTAAACACAAGACTCAAAGGGCTCAAGTACTTCCAAGTAGCTTATTTGTGTTCCAAAAAGAAAGCTCAATCATATTCATAGGAATCCAAAAATATCCAGTACCCAAAATATAAAACTGACAATGTCTGACATCCAAACAAAAATTACTAAGTCAGCAAAGAAGTGGAAAATGTGATTTGTAATGAGAATAATCCATTATAGCTGGCCCAGAAATCACACAAGTGCTAGAATAGGCAGAGAAGAACATTAAAAGGTCATTATAACTGCATATGTTCAGAATGTTAAACAGARACAGGGATCCAGATCTGAGATGGAACATGGACTGGATATAATTAATGGCAGATTAGACACTGCAGAAGAAAAGGTTAGTGAACCTGAAACAGCAATACAGAGTATAGACTCTGAACACAGAGAAGGCTTTAAGTAGGCATCACAAGACAACTTCAGGAACAGATGAATAACTGAAGTTTCAGAAAGAGAGGAAGTAAGGGAAACAAGAAAAATATCTGAAAATACAATAGATAAAAATGTTGCAGATTTGGGCCAGGAATGTAGCTCAGTTGGTAGAGTGCTTGCCTCGCATGCACAAGGTCCTGGGTTCAATCCCAAGCACCACCAGATAAAAGAAAAAAGAAGGAAAATGTCAAAAAATCTGATGAAAACTATAAACTCACAATTTCAAGAATCACAATAGCACTAAGCAAAAATAATAAGGATTTATCATGGTAACAAAGCACATGATAAACAAATTGCTCAAAGCTACTGATAAAGAAAGGTTTTGAAGTAGCCAGAGATTAAAGAAACATGTACATGGAGAAACAAAGAGAGAGTGACTGGAGATTTCACCTTGGAAGCAATCCTACAAAACAGGAAGCAACATCTTTTTATAATACTGAAAGAAAAAAAAACCTTTCTATTTAGAATTCTGTGCACAGTGGAAATATCTTTCGAATATGAAGGTGAAATAAAGACTTTCTCAGACAGATAAAAGTTGAAAAAAAAATTACCACAAGTCGACCTGTCCTATAAGAAATGTTGAAGGGGGCTGCAGGTGTAGCTAGGAGGTAGAGCACAGGCCTGGTATGCACAAAGCCCTGGGCCCAATCCTCAGCACCAAAAAGGGAGAAAAAAAAATGAAGGAATTCCTTTAGGCAGGGGAAGAAATGAATGTCAGAAGGAAATAGAGACCAACATAAAAGAAAGAATTGTAGTGGAAATGGAAACTATGTGTATAAATATGTGTTTTTTTCTTGTTATTGAATCTTTTTCAAAATATGATTGACTGTTAAAAACAGAAATAGTATCAATACAAAATGAAGTTTATAGCATATGTCAAAGTAATATATAGGTCTATAAGGCACAATGTTGAGAGGAAGGAAGAGAGAGGTGCTCAAGTGTGAGGTGGTACACCATCACCTGACGATGCTGCAGAGGAACACTCTACATCATAAAGCAAAGAGCAAAGCTACAGCTGATAAGACAGTGAAGGAAATAACATGCAATCATAAAAAGAGTCCCTTAAGCCAAACGAAGGGAGAAAAATAGAAAAAGCACAGGGAGCTCACAGGACCACAAGGGCACACCAGCAGAGGTCTTTTGGAGAACAGCCCTAACAGAGGTAGAAGGCCGAGTGACACGGAGCTTCAGGTGTGAAGGGCACCATCACTCTAAAAAGTGTGTGCTGAGCAAGGGAACTGATGTGAGCAGGCGCAGGTACYACGTAAGAAATCTCGCCAGGAGTTCCAAAGGTCTCCACATTTCTTGCCAAGTGTCACACCTCCTGTGCCCACCCAGGACCCAGGCCACAACAGGGGCTCAAAAGATGTCTGCAGGTGGAAATGATCCAATGCCGCCAACATGCAGCTGCCAGTCACCACACTAGCTGACTGCCCAGCTAGGAAACTGCAACCAGGACCAGGTTGCACCTGACTGGCTGTGCCAGGCAATTTTCTGGACTCTGCTCATGGCTATATGTACTCAGTATAGAGCCACTGGGCTGCCAACAGGAGGAAAATAGTTGGAGTTCCTCAGAAATCAAATGCTGGAGAATTGTGTGTGTGTGTGTGTGTGTGTGTGTGTGTGTGAGAGAGAGAGAGAGAGAGAGAGAGAGAGAGAGAGAGAGAGAGGAAAACTTGGAGAGAACAGAAAACTTGATATAAGCACTCGGATACTTTATTGAACTCAATCTGGATTATTAGATCAAAGACTAGGACACAGTACAATATAAACAAGAACTTTATCAAATTAAGAAGCAGTACACACCATGGCTCTAAGATACCCAAATCGTTATTCTTTGGTAACAGTCAGGAAGCACTGCGGTTGCAACCTTGGCACTCAATTTCAGCAATTCCAATCTGATAGATCATTCAAGGTTTCTTCCATTAAGTCTCCTCCGTTCTTTCTGATCAATAATGACCTCTGGCTCCCTGTCCCTGACAGCCCTCAGCATCACACTTCTCATCATTTTATGATGGCCAATTTAGGACAACACTGTGAAACCCTCATGTTTCAGCTCCAAGATCCCCACACAGAAAGCTGTGTAGCCCAGCGGTTAGGAGGAGAAGCTCTACAGACAGATCCTAGTTCCAACTCTGGCTTGCTGTGGGCCTGGAGGACAGCTAATGAACCTCTCCGCACCTCGGTTTTCTCATTTATAGTATGGGAACCATAAAATGTTGTTGTGAAATCCAGATGATCCACATGGTGACTGCTCAATGACTAGCAGTATTTGCCATATCACCACTAAATGTCCCAGAGTCACAGAGAACCCAGCCTGCCCTAACAGGAACTCCATTTTCTCCCAGTACCACACCAGCTTTCTCTCAGAACAGGAACCACTGCCCTCCCAGGTGCTCAAGGCCACCCTGAGAGGGGACTCCACCCTTCCCACTGCCCTCCCATCACTGTCAGCAAGACTACAGCAGGCTGCTCTCCCCACCCGGCTGTCTAATGCACCAGGCAGAGAGCCCTTGCTCTGACCCCACCCTCCATTTCCCACAGGGCAGTGGCAGTAAGCTCTTGAAGTGTCCTATCATCCTGAGACTCCACCTCTTGCTTCCCTACTGTCTGGAGTGTGAATACTGCAGTGATGAGCCAGCTGACAGTGACAGTGACATGCAGGGGATGGTGTTAGAGAAGGACTCGAGGTACCTGGATGTCCTTGGATCRGGTACCATCTGCCTTACACCTAAATTCAGGGAACCAGGTTTTCACCACCGTGGACTGGCTCATCTCCACACTATTATGTGCAGAAGAACCGAACTCCATGTTGTCTTCACCCACAATAGAGGCTCGCAGCCTGATGTATCCTGGAAATACAATAACTGGCACCTGGAGGTGGGGTGCTGCTGACAGAAACATAAGTGGCACTGGTTCCACATCAGGTAGTGAGTGGCTAGTGAGGGAACAGATGCTGCAAGTAGAAAGCTAGTCACTGAACCCAAGGGCTTGTACATATTAAGCACTCCCTTTAGCACTCCTGCGCCCCTAGTCACTCAGGTGAAGGGGGCCTGGGAAGTGAGCCGGGGGCTAGGGAACTACACCCCAAACCCCATACTCAATTTCGATAATCTACAAAAACGTCTGAAAAAAAATGTTGCCTGCATTATCTGAAAAAACAGACCTGGCACTTATCAAGTCTGTAGCTCTCAAAGAAATAACTAAGGAAAAGAGCAAATGTTGGGTATCTTGGCTGCTCTTGCTGCTCTTAGCAAGGGACCACAAAATAAGTGAGGTCAAAAAATAACTGCCCCCTTTGCCAGTGGAGGGGAAGACGCAGCTCTGCACGAGGCTCCATCCCTCCGGGATCCTTCACCACCGGCTACAGAGCCGGGCTCTCCGGCCCTCCTGGGGCTGCGGCCGGCCGCTCCCTGCAGTCCGGCACTCTCACACACAAGCCCGCGCTCTCCCGGCTGAAGCCGCGCAGCACTGGCACGTGGACCTGTCCAGAGTGCGGGAAGCGGGAGGCCATCTGGTCTAGACACCGAACACCCGGGGTCGGGGGAGGGGTCCCCAGTGCATATTTTAGGGAGAGGACGTCGGGTCCTGGAGAGCTGGCGGGTCTGCGGAGGCCAGGCTCCACGAGTCCGCGCAGGCGCGGGGGGGGGGGGAGGCGGAGCGCGGCCGCGGTTCCGCGCGTGGCCACGCCCCCAGACACGCCCCGGTGAGGCGCAGGCCGCAGGGCCAGTCGGCCTGACAGNGGCCGCGGTTCCGCGCGTGGCCACGCCCCCAGACACGCCCCGGTGAGGCGCAGGCCGCAGGGCCAGTCGGCCTGACAGGGGGTGCTAGGCCCGCAGCCGAGGGCGGTGGGGGCCAGCCCAAGGGCAGGCGCCTTTCCATTCCTAACACCCAGGCCCCGGGGCTCACCGCGTCCCCCGGAACCGGCAGCTCCTCCGGCTTCCGCCGTCGCCACTGACCCAGCGCCAGGCTGTCCATGCGGCCTCAGGCCCGAGTCAGCCGGCCTCTCGGGCCCACCCGGAGGCCGGGCCCCAGGCTCGCCACGCCCAGGTCCCTTCGCAAGTGTTCGGGGGAGCCTATGAGGAGGCCGGAGGGGCGTGGCCCGCGAGGAGCGCGAAATCCCTACCCGGCCGGGGCCGCAGGCCGGAGTCGCGGAGGCCGCAGTCTTTTCGGAGACAGGTGCTSGAGGGGCTTTGCCTGTCTGCCCTAACGCAGCTGTTTCGTAGGGGAGGGGTGGCTTGACCTTCCCGGGTCACAGAATCAGCGGTGGGGCCCCGAAGGCCCCTGGGTTTAGTATCCGCCATACTTGAGCCACAGCCTCGGGATCGGCAGGTGGGCCGCCCGCCTCCTCTCTCCTGTGATTGGTCGTTGGGCACCGTCGGCAGTTCTTCCTGCTGTTGGTCGACTGATGGATGGGGCAGCGGGCCAATCCGCTTGGGAGATTTCGGGCGGTTTCTGGGAGTTGTGGTCCGGTTGACGCGCCTCGGCTCCCAGAGTTGGACTCYGGCCTGCACCCTGGGAGCCACCGAGGTCGTGGCCGGGTGCTACGCTGGGCGCGGTTGCGGCTTTTGGTGGCACCTTGTGGATAAGTTTGGGAGYGCCCCACACCTCTACAGACCGGAGGGCGCAGGCGCCGGGACCCTGGGGCTGTGCACTCGGAAGCCSAGGCCCAGAGGCGGCGCCGCTCTGCTCCGGCGCCCAGGTCCTCCCGCCTGAGGCTCCAGACCCCTGCTGTAACCAGCTGCCCCGACTCCGGCCCGCCGCTTCCTCCCGCTCCGCCGCCGAGCTCGCGGCGGTTCCGCACCGTAGGGCCCAGAGCCAGGGCCCTGTCGATGAATTATAGCGGGGCATTCCTTCGCCAGCCACTGGCGGGGGACCTGTGACCTGGTTTTGGCCCATGAGAAGTAGGAGGTCAGTCGAGCAGAGTTGGGAAGGACTGTCCTTCCTGTGAAAGGAGGAGGTGGGTGTGTGGATCTGCCTTCTCTGCTGTTGCCCAGTGTAACTTCCGGAGCTGCTGCAGCCTGGCCACACCACGGGAGCCGCTGGGGCCACCCCAGTGGAAAGTGGGAAAGCACCCAGGGCCTTGCGAATCACCTGACTGCCCGTCTCCAGATTGGCATGTCTGGGTCACAGTGAGCTTCCCGTTCTGCTCAGTGGAAGGCATCATTTGTCACAAAGCCCTGTTTTGGTGAAATGCATGAAGCAGTACTCAGGCTATTTGCTACATGATCTTGAGCGAATTAAGGAGCTAACTTAACTCAGTTCCCTCCCTTGTAAGAGATGATGATGATGACTGATAGGAAGCGGTGAGGACTAGGGGAGACGTTTTACATACAAAGTACCAAGAAGCATGTCTGACACAAGTGCTCTATTAAACAGTACTGCCACCGCTGGCTCACAATCCAGTATCAAAAACCCTGGGGGCCAGATGTGTTTTTAGAATTCAGAAATGTTTGAATTTTTTAAAGGGGGAGGTATATATGCTGCGTTTTATAAAAACTTTGAACGGGATCTGGGCTAGGGCCCTACAACCAAGCATTTCTACAGCAAAAATGTGTGACTGTTCAAAATATTTATCCTGACTGTGATATATAAAGATTATAGTCTCATCAGTTCACACAGGCTTGCTCCAAACACGGGAGGGGAAAAAAAAACCTCATGATTTTCAGAACATTTTCATTTCAGAGTTGATTTAATGCATTGTTGTGGACTTATACTACTTCCTTCTACTTTCAAAACATGTTTTGTCTTGCTCTTTAGGTGGGATGACTTGCTTTGTTATCCAGTTTCAGTATTACCAGCCTTTGTCCTTATGGCTACTTTACAGATGTGTGAAAGAACAAAATTTCAAAAAGTTTTAGTTCTTACTAGGAAGTCATGAACTARGCAGCATCTAGTCTGCAAAATAGAAAGGGGTGCCAATGAGATAGATAGAGTGGGTGAGTTTTACAGGTCAACAAAAGTGGAGGAAATCAGGCACCATAAATAGCAGATTGGTTCATTTCAAGATTCCTTATAGGGGTGCAAATGAAATCTTGTTGGATTAATAGGATTTGGCTTTTTCTCCTCCAATCTCTTAGGTCAGATTTTACAGTAAACAACTTAGGTTTCTGTGGTAGCATGGAATATTCGAATGAGCCACTCCATTGGAACACCCTTTCTTCTCTAGCAGGTGTTTGAATCATCCTCAGAGCCATTTCCCAGGCAATGAGAGGAAGAAACTCAAGTCTATGAGCCAATAAAGCAGTGGGTATGTTTAGAAGGATGCATCTTAGTCTGGGGATGTAGTCCAATGAGGGAGCACTTGCCTTACTGTACAGGGACCCAATTTGATCCCCAGCACTAAAAAATAAGAAATGCAGTTTAGCTTAGCACACAATTTACCAACATCAATCATTTGGGAGCTCACTGCAAAGGGTATGTATGTTAAACCTCTCTTTGTTGTTTGTTATATATTAATTTAAATTCTCAACATTTAAATTTTTGAAAATATAAAAAATAGTGCATAGCATTTATAAAATGATGGTTTAAAATGCTCATTATTTAAATGTTAAAGTGAATATATAATCTATTTGAAGAAAATGTAGGAAAAGCTTCATGACATTGGATTCTTGCATATGATGCCAGAACAACAGTGAACAAAAGAAAAAATAGATAAATAGGACTACATCAGAATTTAAAACGTTTGATTAAAAAAAAAATTTAAGGGCTGGAGTCATGGCTTATTGGTATTATTGGTAGAACGCTTACCTGGCATGTGTGAGGCCCTGGGTTCAATCCTCAGCACCTCATATAAATAAATAAAACAAAAGATTCATTGACAACTAAAAAAATAAATGATTTAAAAATGTTTGTATATCAAATGATATTTGGTGAAAAGGTTACCCATGAAATGAAGAAAATATTTGTAAATTATGTATCTCATGATGGGTTAATGTGCAGAACTTAAAGAATACCTACAAATTACCAGTAACAAAAAATAATTAGAATAGCTTTTCCCCAAAGAAGATATATAAATGGCCAGTAAGCACTGAAAAGATGATCAACATCATCAGTTATTAGGGAAATGCATATCAAAACCATCTTGACATACCACTTCATGTCCATTAGGATGGCTATCAAAAGAAAATGAAAATAACAAAGTATTGGATCAGATATGAATAGGAATGCTTGTGTGTTGAAAGGAATATGAAGTGCTACAGCTGCTACTGAAATTGTTTCCTCAAATATAAAATCACCATATAAGCCATATGTATATACAGAAATCACTGAAAGCACAGGAACGCCCATGTCCATCACAGAATTTGCCACCTTATCCAAAAGATGGAAGCAACCCTAGCTCCACTGGTGGATGAGTGAGGGCACAAGGTGCAGTACGTGCAGTGATGTAATGCCATTCTGCCTTTCCCCCTTTTGTCACATCGTCCCAGATGTGGAACTCCTATACAAACTTTCAAATATATAGGATTCGAATGTAATCATCTAATAATCATAATATTGCTCAAGTTAGTGTATAATAACATATGGGCTATGATGCACCAATAAAATGGAAAAAATAGTGTATAGTTTCTAGATTATGATTTCCAACCTATTTTAATGTCTGTTTCACTGAAATATTGGCAGAATTGTGAAATTGGGACTTAATGGGTTTAAAAGGAAAGAAATGCTGGCATGTGGACGGACATTGACGACTAAGTGAAGTAAGCTATCCATAAAAAGATCTTTGAGTCCGACTGCATTGGGCACTGTGGGCAAACAGTAGAAGGGTGACTACCAGGGCTATGGCCAGGGGAATGGGGACAGGCGTTTAGTAGGGAGTTTTAGTTTGGTGAGAGAAGTGGTCCTAGAAATGGGTGGTGGTGTGGTGGCCCACCATTGTGAATGTACTCAACACTACTGACCACCCACCTAATAATGATTAAAATGGCAAATTTGGGCTGGAGATGTGGCTCAGCGGTAGCGCGYTCGCCTGGCATGCGTGCGGCCCGGGTTCGATCCTCAGCACCACATACCAACAAAGATGTTGTGTCCGCCGAGAACTAAAAAAAAAATAAAATAAAATAAAATAAAATGGCAAATTTGGTGTGATACATATTTACCACAATGAAAATTCATTAACTATTAAAATAGAAGTAACTTTTCCATGCATCATTAACTCTTTTTGCACCCACCTTCATGGGAAGTGTCTCAGGAAGGAGGTGGCTGGAGCCCCAGTCCTCCTTTTCTCTATTTCCAATCCTGAGTATGCTGCTTTAACTGCCAGATCACTGTCCCCTTTTTGCTTTATGAAAGTGGGATGCTCTCTGCTCTCTGCGAGGTCCCTCTGGAGTAGCCAGCACTCTCTTTGGTAAGCCCTCAACTGCATCTCTGCTGTGGACAGCATTGGTTCTTCATTCTGGACACATGCCTTTGTATTTGAAGTGGCCTGTGCACAGCAACCCACAATTAAGGGCTTCCGCCTTCCTAAGGGTGGGTCTCCGCCTCCCTCCTCCCTGGCCACACTTACTCCTGAAGTTGGTGGGCACCTCCAGTAACCATTTTCATGCAGCTGTTGCAAAGGCATTACTTCTGTTTTTCCCCCTTTCAAACTCCCAAGGACTTCCTTTAGGAACTTCTACCTCTGCTCATCCTGTTGGGAAGTAGAAGACAGCATATGGAGAATCTATAGAGCAGATCCTGGCTTACAGTAGGTGTGCTGTAGAGTTCCTTCCTATTCTCTTCCTCCTAAGAAATTCCCAGCCCTTCCTGGGCACTAGTATAAGGTTCTTTTTTTTTTTTTTTTTTTTTGAGTGTACTGTTTCTTTAGCTATGATATAATACTGGTTGTCATTTTTGTCTGGGATGCTCCCCTATGCTACACCTGGTCTGCTTCCGGTTTTTCATTTTTCAACTGAAGTGTCCCTGCCCAACAGGAGCTTTGTCCATCCAACCACCTAATCTAAAGCAGCCACTGGTGTTCCACTTGTAAGTGCCTACTCCCAGTCTCCAGCAGTCCCTGCTGTGCACTAATATTCTTTTGACTGATTGAGTTTTTGCATCCTCCACATACCAGAATGCTTGTTCACTGTGCAGGGCCAGGCATATGGTAGGCACTCATTAAATAGTTGTCTAAACTAGAGACTTTGCTGGTCAATTTGGCTTCTTTGATCTCAGGGAATCCTCCAATGACACTGCAGATCTATCTTCATGTTCAGATAAACAAGACTGAGTCACAGAGATATTGCCCATTGGTTAGGACTGCAAAGTGATCCAATAGCCTGCCTGAATGCAGACCACACGGTCTCCTTTCCTACCTTCCTGCTGTTCTATGGCTTCTAGTTCC